TATCATATACCCTTTGAATCATTACAAACTGAGTGTTAAAAAAGAAAGTATTAGACTGGAAAGCTGATTAAAAAACTTTTATACTTCTAGTCAAGATGGCAGTGTAGGTAGACCACATCAAAACTACAATTAAAATATAGATCAACCATCACTCAAAACTGTCAGAAGCTAAGTTGAATGGAAGTCTGACTACTACAGAATTAAAGAAACTACATCCATCCAGACTGGTAGGAGGGGTGCAGACATGGAATGGGCTGGTCCTTTACCCACGTGTGGTGGATAAAAATTCAGGAGGGATATCTCGGGAATCAGGAGTCCAAGCCCCACACTAGGTCCCCCAGCCCAGGCTTCTAGTGACAGGAAGGTAAGTCCGTCCCCACAACTTCGCAAAAACCAGCAGGGACTGAGTTGGTGAAGCCCCAAGCTACTTGGAGCCCCAAGCAGTTCCTCTTAAAGAACCCACACATGGACTCACCTGCTCAGACTCACTCCATTTGAGCTCCAGCACTGGGGTAGTAGCTTGAAAAACACCAGTGGCATCCAGGGAGAAACTGAAGTGCCTGGCATCAAGGCAAGCAGAGGCCACTGTCCTTTTTCTAAACTCCCTTCAGATTTGGAAAGCTGGTGCCGTGAGATTCCATCAAATTGGCTAACACTCTTCGACCCGCCTTGGAGATCCCCAGAGATTCTGTCCCCCGAAATTTATGGACCCATCCTAGCTGCTTTTCCAAATGAATAGTTGGTCTTGGATCATGCTTCACAACTTCCTAAATCCTCTCAAACAAGCAATAACTGGCCTCAGTGAGCCCTAGGCCCAGCATTAGCAGCAGTCAGCCTAGATTCACAGCTTGGCTTCGCCTGGGAATCTCCAAGTCCAGCACAAGTAGCAGCCATCTCTGATTGCTTTATAGCACAGGCCCCAGGAAAATCACAGGTGGAGGCTGACCTTAGCCTGCACCACTCCAGAAGCCCCAGGGCCAGCACACCCACTGGATAGCTATGGACCACAGTGGGGCACCACCACCTTGCCCCTGCATAGCTAATCTTCCACAGAGGTTGGCAGATAGTGGCCAGAGCAAACAGCAACCAAGGTTCAACTGCAAGGGGAAGGTGTACTCAGCACACATGAAGAGCGCACCTCTAGTACCCAACTTGGGTGATAGGGGAGGCTGTGCCACTGGACACTATAGGACACCTACTACATTAGGCCACAGTACCATGACACAGAGTCAAAGCAACTCTACCTAATACATAGAAACAAACACAGAAAGGCTGCCAAAATGAGGAGACAAAAAAACATGGCCCAAATGAAAGAACATTTCACACTCCAGAAAAAGCTAAATGAAATGGAGATAAGTAATCTCTCAGATGCAGAGTCACTGGTTGTAAGGATGCTCAAGGAACTTAGTGAGGACCTCAACAGCATAAAAAAGATCCAGTCAGAAATGAAGGATGCATTAACTAAAACAAAGAAAAATTTACAGGGAAACAATAGTAGAGTGGATAAAGCTGAGAATCAAATTAATGACCTGGAACATAAGGAAGCAAAAAACAACCAATCAGAACAACAGGAAGAGAAGAGAATCCAAAAAAAACAAAACAAAAAAAGTATAGAATAAGCAGCCTCTGAGACAACTTCAGGAAGTCCAACATTTGCTTCATAGGGGGACCAGAAGGAGAGGAGAAAGAGAAAGAAACTGGAGTTCTATTTGAAAAAATAATGAAAGAAAACATCCCTAATTTGGCAAAGGAAATAGACATGCAAGTCCAGGAAGCACAGAGAGTCCCAATCATGATGGATGCAAACAGGCCCACTCCAAGACATATCATAATTAAAATGGCACAGGTTAAAGAAAAAGAGAGAATCTTAAAAGCAGCAAGAGAACAGAAGTTAGTTACCTACAGGGGAGTTCCCATAAGACTGTCAGCTGATTTTTCAAAAAAGAAACTTTGCAAGCTAGCACAGATTGGCAAAAAATATTCAGTCATGAAAAGCAGAGACCTACAGCCAGGATTGCTATACCCAGCAAAGTTATCATTTAGAATCTAAGGGCAGATAAAGGGCTTCCCAGACACAAAAAAACTAAAGGAGTTCATCATCACCAAATCACTATTATATGAAATGTTAAAGGGACTTACTGAAGAAAAAGAAGATAAAAACTATGAACAATAAAATGGCAAAAAATACATATGTATCAACAACTAAAACACAAACTAAGCAAACAAGAACAGAGACAGAATCATGGATACAACAGAGAGTGTTTTGATGGTTGTCAGATGGGAGGGAGACTGGGGGGGAATGGGCAAAGAAATGAGGGGATTAGAAGTACAAATAGGCAGTTTCAGAATGGCCATGGGGATGTAAAGTACAGGATAGGAAATGGAGTGAAAGAACCTACGTGTGACCCACGGACATGAACAATGGTATGGGGATTGCCTGAGGGAATGGAGTGCTGGGTGGAGGGGTGCAAAGGGGGAAAATCAGGACAACTGTAATAGCATAATCAATAAAGTATAATTAAAAATAAAAAACTTTGATATATGATAAACATATGTACACCTATAAAAATATGTATATGTATAAAAATATAATCCCTCCTGCGACTTATCTCCAAACCTTCCTGACCCCTGGGTTCATTAACAGGTCAGTGTTTAAGGGGGGAAGGGAGGGAAACACTTATAGGAAACAAAAACGAGTATCCTGGGCTGCAGAGAAAATGTTGGGAACTTTAACCCCTGTTTATAAAGTGTGACGAACAAAGAGTGGCAAATCATCTTCCTAGAGAGGTAAACCATGTGTTGGTTACAAAAAGAGTGTCAAAAAAATTTATGTGTTTATTACAGCCTTACTTCCCTTCTAATTTCCACTAAGTTTGTGCTTACATTCTTTTAGGAAACATCCCCATTTATTTACATGATAAAATTAAGGTTTTTTTCTGATAATAAAATAAAATTTGTTAGAAGTTCATTTTAAAACACTCAAACATTTTAAAGAAGCATAAAGAAGAAATTAAAAATCATCCCACATCCTGCTACACAGAGATGGCCACTGTTAATCTTCTGGTGAACACTATTCTGGATTTTCTGTCTAGGTACATGTTCACATATACATGTGGATATTCTACACAGATGGAGAATTCATAAATAATAGAATTGTAATATTCTGCAGTGTTCTATAACCTGAAAGATACTTAGGTTATTTTCAAGTCTTTAATTTTGAAACAATTCCATAATGTATTCCGGTGTACACAAATCTTCACAGACTCACCATTTTACTTCTAAAAACACCTTAGGTCTTTTGAAAATTTTAAAAATTGTACTTATTACAGAAATGTCCAAAAACATATAATGTAGAAAAGTCAAAATCTTGTAGCACTTAGTTATGGTCCCCTACCCAGCTACTCTCACAGTCTGCTAGTAAATGGCAGCTCCAGCCTTCTAGCTGCTCTCGAGAAAAGCTTTGGAATCATCTTTGGTTCCTCAATTTCCCTCAAAATCCTGTCCAATCCATTACATCTGTTAGTTCTCTTAAATATAAATATGTATATGTGTATATGTGTGTGTGTGTATGTATATGATCTAAATAATTCATATACATATATGATCATATACATATATGATCTAAACAATTCTTACCAATCTCACTCACACCAAGGTAGTCTGGTCACCATCATTTCTTGCCTAGCCTTAAAGCATTCAGATTATAAAGATCACTGATACTGTTTCAGATACCACATTGCAATTAACCTTTAAAAAACAACACATATTGATCAAAATATCATTGACATTTTGATCAAATCAATGACATGCCAAGGTTTCATATAGTATCAAAGAAGAATTTCCAAAATTATCTGAAAAGGCTATAAAAATACTTTTCTCTTTTTAAACTACACCTTTGTGAGGCTGGATTTTCTGTGTATACTTCAACTAAAACACATTGTAACAGACATCACAAAAGGTGAAGTATGAATCTACTTGACTTCTATTAAGTTACATATTAAAAATACTTGCAAAAGCAGAAAAACAATGCTACACTTTTCATTAACTTTTGCTCTTTCAGAATATAGTTATTTTTTATGAAAAATCATGTTATATTAACATATAACGGGGTTATTATTACATTCTTAAATGAAGTAATAAATACTTGAGAATTTCTGTTTTAATGAGTATGGTAACTATGCATTGATAAATCCAACATGACCACTGGTGGACCACTGCTCTGGCAGCTTCTCTCTCATTCAGAGTATAATCTAAATCCTTACTATGGTTTACAAACTCCCTACACAACCTCATCCCATTTGCTCTATGATCTCCACTCCTACCCCTCTCAGATCTCATTTCTAACCACCGCTTTCCAGCTTTTCTCTTATAATGGCCTCCTTGATTTTCCTTAAATATACCAAGTAAGTTCCTAAATGAGAGTCTTGGCACTAGCTTTTCTTAGTGTTTGGAATACATTCTCCAGATAACCCTGGGACTCATCCCCTTCCTTTAATTGTTTCTTAAATGTGACTTTATACATAAGATAGTCCCTGAATACCACATTACAAAACAGTACAAATCAGCACCTTCCATCTTTCTCTATATTTTCTTAATTATATATCTTATTATTATTTTTTTAAAATAGCAGTTCCAACCCCCTGACTTATATTTTTAATTGTCAGTCTTCTTCATCTTGACTGAAAACCCATGACAGCAGATACTCCTGTTAGTTGCTGCTGTAAGCTCAGTGCCTAGAAAAGTACCTGGTGCTTAGATTACCTCCAGAAAAATTCTGATTGAATGAATGGCTGAAATTGTCATCTTATTGCATTTATATTTGCTTTTCTTTTGAAAATTCTTGTTCATCAGGTTTTCTTAAAGCATTCTTAAGCATTTTCTATAGCATTCTTAAAAATGCAATAATAAAAATATTTAAATGAAAGTATATTTTATTCTATAACAGGGGAAAAAAAAGAAGGGACAGGAGAAAATGTAGGTATTAGAAATGATGTTCATACCTGACATACTCGGAGAGCTTGGTCCAAGACTGTCTTGGTGTCAGTGTCGTAATCTGGGCAGGGCAGCATGGCTCGGCTGAGATGCGCCTGTAGCAGGAGATGGGCTTTGGTGTGAGGGCTGTCGAACGAATGAGGATTGGATTCCAAGGGAAGACACTTTGCCAGTTCACTATTCATATGATCTTCGTTGTGTCTTACTGGTAAATCTGTGTATTCTTCTGCATCCTGAAAAAAGAAAACAACATATATGAGTATATTATTAATGTGCTGGGTCAAAATTATAATAATATACTTCTTAGCTTTAACTACTGACATTTAAAACATGGTCTAGAAAAAACATAGATAACCTTATCCCTTAAAGTTTTGCTTTGTTCAATACTATTATTAATATATGAGGAAAAGCAAGTAACATATAATATGTCTGAAATTCATGAGCACTCATCTTATTTATGCAGTCAACAAACATAATAGAGATCCCACTAGGCATCAAATATCATGCCTGACACTGGGCCCACAGCAGTGAATCAGAAACTGAGAGCACATCAAAGACAAAAAGTTCTACAAAGTGTAATGAGTGCTATGATACGTCAGTACAGAGTGCTGAAGGGATACTCGGTTTGGGGACTTAGTAGTTTAGAGGGGCAGGGAAAGCATCTTGGACAGAGTAATGTTTAAGTAAAGATCCAGAGACGAGTGGAAGAAATGAGGCAGAACTGGGGCAACGGGGAGGAGGACAGGAGTGGTGAGGTTAGAAAAGAGTGAGGATTAGGGTCATTAACTTAAAATTTATTGTAATACATTAGACTTAAATAAAATTGTTCAAAATTCATGTTTCCAGTTCCACATGTAAGGAGCTTGGACGCTATCACTCCATTCTAACAAGTAAAAACCTAAAAAGTCTGACAAATCAACAACTCTCCTTGGATCCATATAGGGGGTGAACACAGGACAAACTGTTGTCTCCAAGACGGGAAACACAGGCAAGTTCAGGGGGTCAACTGCTAAGAGGAGCAGAGAGTCTCAGACAGGAACTGCCAGGGAACCAGTGCCAGGCTGAGGAAACCTGAACTACAACTGATGAACTGTGGGAGGCTCTGCGTGGACAACCCTGAGAGCTACAAAGTCCATGGGGACCAGTCACAGGGGACTCCCACGAAACTGAAATTTACCTTCAGGAGTTTGACCAGATTCCCACTGCAGATATCAAAGAGAAATCCCCATGGGCTTTTCTAGTTAGGGGGGCAGGGATCCACCATTTTGAAATAAGTCAGAGCACCCCATTCTTCTCAACAAAGAAACAAACAAAGAATCCCAAACAAAAACAAACTCCCCGCCCTCAAATACTATTTTTGGTCCGCAGTGCACTAAATCTGCAGATGTGAAACCCAGGGAGATAGAAGATTGATTGTGTATTTATTGAAAACGACCCACATATAAGTGACCCATGCAGTTCAAACCAGTATTGTCCAAGAGTCCACTGTTCATCAATAATCACTTTGAATATCAATGATCTAAATAAACTGATTAAAAGACAGAGGCTGTCAGAGTGAATCAAAAAATGTGACCCAATTATATTTTGTCCACAAGAAAACCACCTTAAATATAAAGACATATATAGATTAAAATAAATGGAAGGAGAAAATATACCATACTAACACTAATCAAATAAAACAAGAGCAGTTACATAAATTTCAGGTAGAGCAAATTTAAAAGGAAGGAAAATGATCATAAAGAAGGTAATTACATAATAAAAAAGGGGTCAATTCCCTAAGATATAACAGTTCTAACTGTGTATGTGCCTAACAATCAAATATCAAACTAGGCGAGTGCAGTGAGTGAATACAGGATTGGTTTAGTATTTGAAAATCAATTCTTATAATTCACTTTATTAATAAACTTAAAAAGCATACAATCATCTGAAATGATGCAGAAAAAAAATCTGACAAAATCTAACATCCACCCTCCAAAACTCTCAGCAAACTAGGAAGAGAAGGGTACTTTCTCAACCTGTAGGTTTTCTTTGAGAAATCCACAACTAATGTCATATTTCAGTAAGAGACCGAAAGCTTTCCCCTTAGGATCAGGGACATGACAGGGATGTATTTCTCCTCTCCCCTTCCCTCCCATCCCCTTCCCCCTCCCTTCCTCTCTTCTCCTCTTCCTCCCCTGCCCTCCCCCTTCTTTCCTTTCCTTCCCTTTCCTTTCAAAAAATATTTTATTTATTTATTTTTAGAGAGAAGGGGAAGGGAGCAAGAAAGAAAGGGAGAGAAACATGCATGTGTGGTTGCGTCTTGCATGTCCCCTACTGGGGATCTGGCCGGCAACCCAGGCATATGCCCTGGCTGGGAATTGAACTAACGACCCTTTGGTTTGCAGGCTGGCACTCAATCCACTCAGCCATACCAGCAAGGGCAAGACAAGGATTTCTGTTCTCAGTACTTCAATTAAACATTGTACCAGGGGTTCTACCCAGTGCAATCAGGCAAGAAAAAGAATTAACAAACATCCAGACTGAAAGGGAAGAAGTAAAACTGTCTTTATTTGTAGATGATATATCCATCAATATAGAAACCCAATGAAATGTATAAAATAATCTACCAGAATAAGTGAGTTAAGCAAGTTTCAGGATATAAGATTAGCAGACAAAATCAACTGTATTTCTGAATATTAGCAACCAAAAACCAGAATTAAAAAAATTTATAATGGCATAAAATATATTAAGTACTTAGAAATAAATCTGACAAAAACATGTAAGACCTGTACACTGAAAACTACAAAACACTGCTAAAAATTAAAGAAAAAAATTTTAAAAAATTAAAGAAGACCTAACTAAAGAGAGATATATACCTTAATTCTCTCAAAATTGATCTGCAGATATAATACAGTCTCAGTCACAGCAGATGTTTTATCCTTTGGCTGACTGACAAGTTGATGTTTTGAAGGACTCCAGTGTGTGCACGTGCAGGAGTGGGGTGGTGGTAAGGAGAGACCCACACCAACAAGCAAGTCTGAGACACAGTTAGGTGTCCTACCATTCAACTCAATTTTGATGCTGTCTACCTAAAGATAGCGTCAGATATCCCACAAATCAAGGGTTCAGTTCTGTAAGACTGACTCTCCTCTCCACTTCAGATGCCAGCTGCAAGCCCAGGTTATCACCTGTGTTTCTGACTGACTGGCTACAGATTGGGGCTTCCAACACCACTTCACTTGGGTTGCATTAATTTGCTTGAGTGGTTCACAGAACTCAGAGAAACATTTTAGTAATTAGATTACTGGTTTACTATGAAAGGATGTTAACAAAGGAACAGGCAAATGAAAGAAATACATGGGGCAAGGTATGGGAGAAGGGCTCAGAGCTTCTATACTCTCTCTGAGCTGGACAAATCTCCATGTGTTCACCAACTAGAAAGCTCTCCAAACTCTGTTCTTTTGGGTTTTTAGGAAGGTTTCATTACATAGGTATGATTAATTACAACATTGATCATCAGTCATTAACTCCATCTTTATCTCCTCTCTCCTCCCCCAGAGGCTGGGGGGTGATCACGGGTGAAATGGGATGGTGGGGTTAAAATTTCCAACCTTCTAACCACATGGTTGGCAAGGAGTCTCCATTCTTAGGTGTTTTCCAAAAGTCACTCATTAACATAACAAAAGGCACCCTCACTGTGCTCTTAATCACTTAGGAAATTACAAGGGTTTTAGCTCTATGCCAGAAACAGGGATGAAGACCAAATATATATTTCAAGAGCAAATATACATTTCTTATGACAAATTATGATTCTAAAATTCATATGGAAATGCAAAGAACCTAGATAGCTGACAGAACTCTGGAAGTGTGGTATTACAATAGAATAAAGAATTGAGAAATAAACCCATACATATATGAAAAACTTATTTTACACAAAGACTCAAAGGCAAAGCAGTGGAGATAGAACAGTCTTTTCCAGAAATGATGGAATAATTGGGTATCCACACGCAAAAAAGCAAAAACAAACAACCCCCCCAATCTTCAATCTTTACCCTATACTGTATACAAATATTCGCTAATGTTAAATCTAAAACTAGAAAACAGGAGAATATCTTTGGTACGTATGGTCAGGAAAAGATTGCATTGATAAAATACCTTAAATTCTACATGTAGAATTTATCAATTCGACAAAGAAAATTGATAAATTGAGCTTCACCCCCCCAAAAAAAAGACATTCTTAAGATAGTGAAAATATAACCCACAGAATGAAAATATTTGCAGACCATATATCTAATATAGTACTTGTATCTAGAATATACGCATTCTCAAAACAGGGTGGAAAAACAAGTAGACCCTTAAAAAAAGTGGGCAAAGATTTAACAGGTATTTTACATAAACACAAGAACTATCATTAGTTATGAGGAAAATGAAAATTAGAATGGCCAAAATTTAAATGACTAACATACCAAGTATTGGCAAGAATGTGAAAAAAGTGGAACTCCCTACGCAGCCTGTGGGAATGTAAAAGTTACAATCTCTTTGGAGAGCAGCTTCACATTTGCCATTCCATTCCTAGGAACTTGCCCAAAAGAAAAGAAAGCACAAAAAGACCTGCACACAGTACTTGACAGTAGCTTTACTTATAAAGTGAAAAACTAGAAAAACTCTTAAGGTCATCAACAGGCTGAAGGGATACACAAACTGCTTTTTATCCATAAAGTAGAATTCTACTCAGCAATGAAAAGAATGAACTATTGTGGGAGGTGGGGTGGGTGGGGCAGGGGAAAGTAATGATGGGAAATGGAGACAACTGTCCTTGAACAACAATAAAAAATAAATAAAAATTATGTCATATATGAAAGAAACAAACAAAAGAATGAACTATGATACCATAACATGAACTTCAAAATAATTATGCTGAATAAAAGAAGACAGATCCCCCAAAAGTACATCTTATAGGATTCCACTTATATAGTATTCTAGAAAATGCCAACTAATCTGCAGTGAAGGAAAGCAGGCTGGTGGTCGTCGGGAAGAGGGCAGCCTGGGAGTGGGGGAGTGGAGGCTCATGGAGGGCTGTCACATAACTCCTGATTTGAATCTGACAGGCACAGATCTTGCCAATGAAGCAAGACTGTATGATAGAGCCCTTTACAATTTTATTATTTAGAATTCAGTAATGTGAAACACTTAGAATATTCTACTTACATATAATATATCTTCCCCTTTTCTTGCTTGATTTACAATTTCAGAA